AATTAAACCTTATTTTCAATAAGCAATCCTGAAAAATATTTGGGGGTGCTTAACTTTTTTCCAGGTGTATAGTAACTGCAAAAACGTGACATGTAATGGGTTGGGAGCTGTTGCTGGCAACATTCTAATCAAGCCAATCTTTCCAAGCGCTGTATTCGCATCTCAAACAGCTGTCACGTTCCTCGAAGGAAATTATGAACCGCACCGAAGAGATACACGGAGTTACCGAACCGCTGGCAGAGCTCCGCCTAACCTCCCCTAACGGTTGTACAAGTCGGTTCGCATCTCAAACAGCTGTCACGTTCCTCGAAGGAAATTATGAACCGCACCGAAGAGATACACGGAGTTACCGAACCGCTGGCAGAGCTCCGCCTAACCTCCCCTAACGGTTGTACAAGTCGGATTGTTGTTCTACCTCCCCTAACGGTTGTACAAGTCGGATTGTTGTTCTACCTCTCCTAACGGTTGTACAAGTCGGATTGTTGTTCTACCTCCCCTAACGGTTGTACAAGTCGGATTGTTGTTCTCCGGTTGGTGCCGCCTTTTCACAAATTCGATGTTTGGGGAGAGAAAAAAAAAAACACAGATAGTTGTATGACAAATTTATCATTCGTAGCTTTAAAAGGATTAACTGGTATTATGGTAACTATGTTCTGAAAAGATGTAAAGGGAAAAATATAAATATTTCACATCAGTGGATGAAATATCGATATCAAAGAAATGATGTAACGATGCGAGTAGAAATGTTTGTTTGTTTGTAATTAAGCACAAAGCTACACAATGGGCTATCTGTGCTCTGCCCACCACGGGTATCGAAACCCGGATTCTAGGATTGTAAGTCCACTGGGGGGCAAGAGTAGAAATGTACCGAAACGATTAAGTCCATATATCAATTTTTGTTGATGTTTAACAGTAAAATCAGATTCTATGCAGTAAAATACTAGAGTATTTCTATGAAATAGTAAAATGTTGATATCCAAGTGCAAGGCATTTTATCAGACAGTAAAATACTGACACCAAAAAGTAAGGTATTTTATCAGACAGTAAAATACTGACACCAAAAAGTAAGGTATTTTATCAGACAGTAAAATACTGACACCAAAAAGTAAACTGTCTAATAAAATACTTTACTCATTGGTATCGATATTTTACTGTCTAATAAAATAACTTAGTCGTTGGTATCAGTATTTTACTGTCTGATAAAATACCTTACTTTTTAGTATCAGTATTTTACTGTCTGATAAAATACCAAAATATTGATGCTAAAGAGGTATTTAGTAAAACATTGTTCGAAAACGGTTAAATTAAAATGTTGATATCGGTGGCATACCAATAACAAACAGTAAAAATTTTGATATCCATTAGTAGAATAAGGTATAGATAATCGAGAAATAGTCAAAACTAGAGTAATAAGAAATGTACTTCCACAGTGTCCCCAAAAGTGTTCTGTTTCCAGAGTAAATAAAACAAAAATTAAGAGTAACAAATATTTTTATTTCTTGCTTTGAAGTTCATCTCATGCTGTAGCCTACAGAGTACATAATTCTTCTCGTGATTCATGGCATGCGCACGTTTTACTGACGTACAAATTGCAACGTTAAGTCCTTTATGTGTCGTCATTTTTGTGGATTCACTATTTCTTTGTAGTTAGGCGCAAAGATACACAATGTACTATTTGTGCTCTGCCTGCCGCGGGTATCGAAACCAAGTTTTTAGCTTTATAAGATCTCAGACTTACAGCTGAACCACCGGAGGAGGACAGACAGAGGACCATAAAAGAATCTCGCATACAGAATGATTAAAATGTGGTCCCTCAGGGTAAGAGAAAGGATAGCTTCCATCGCTCCACACAAAACATTACGTATCACACGATGTCTAGAGCAACGATATTATTTCACTTATTATTAACTTTTAGTTTTTGAACATTTGTTACTAATCGCATTGAAATCAATGGGTCTTGAATACGACAATAACTGTTATATATATATTTATATATTGCACGTAATGTTGTCTTAAAGTTTGTTTGTTTGTTTAGTGCAAAGCCACATCGGGCTATCTGGTGTGTCTGTTTGTAGTTATGCACAAAGCTACAAAAAGGGCTATAAGTGCTCTGCCCACGGTATCGAAACCCGGATTCTAGCGTTGTAAGTCCGCAGACATACCGCTGTGCTACTGGGGGGGGCATCTGGTGTGTCTACCGCGGGGAATCGAACCTCGGAGTTTAGTGTTGTAAGTCCGTAGAAAGAAACGTTCTCGGTTAATTACCTTGGAACAAATGAAACCTAAAAATAAAACTCATTAACTTCACGTTAAACAAATGGGAGAAAAACTTTTCAGTCACAACAAATTTTACAATATTTTCTTTAGAACAATCTGAAAAAAAGTACATTCTCAGTGGGGAGATACAATGGAGCATCACATGCTCGTGTAGCACGTGCATGGCTTTAGAGTATAAAATTATATCAATAATTCACAAGAAACTTATGGCGAGTATTTCTAACTAACTAAAAACAAACCGGAGTTGTACTTACCCCCTTAGATACACGACGAACCGATAGTAGTCGATCAGGAACCGAACAAGGATAAAAAATAAAACAAAATTCATTTTTAGTTTTGATGTTGTTTTAGCAGTAAAATAAAAATATAATGTATTCATTGCTACCCTATCTAAAGAAAATAGCTTTGTCCTCTAAAGTTTGTTTTGAATTTTGCGCAAAGCTACTCCAGGGCTATGTGCGCTAGCCGTCCTTAATTTAGCAGTGATAGACTACAGGGAAGGCAGCTAGTCATCACCACCCACCGCCAACTCTTGGGCTACTCTTTTACGAACGAATAGTAGGATTGACTGTCACATTATAACGCCCCCACGGCTGAAAGGGTGAGCATGTTCGGTGACGGGAATTCGAACCCACGACCCTCAGATTGCGAGTCGAACGCCTCAACCACCAGGTTATTCTACAAAGTAAATGTGGCTTTATTTCTTGGATGATGCCATAAATAACAATGCAACTTTAAATCAAGCTTCTCGAAAAAATAGTGGGCGTTTGGGAGACTATTTTTTTTAGTCGCAAAGCTACACAACTTATGTTAAATTTACAGCATTTACTGACTCTGGGGAATAATTCAGAATTGTACGGCCTTTCCAGGCGTAGAAATGTGAAGATTTTATGCATATTTATCCTCTTCATGTATCCTATTTGTTTGTTGTGTAAGGTAACGGAATCGGCGGAGGAACTTCGTGTGTTATTGGATAGTATTAGTGCTGAGAAAATGTAATATAACACTTAGAGCTTTAAAAAGAAAACTGAAAATCAGAAATTGTCGTAACTTCTAGTAAGATAATACTGTTATTCGGAATTTTTGAAGTTTATATTTATTTATTTATTCTTGCCAGGAGTTCATCAGCTTTTTTCATATTGAGTAAAATTACTTCGTTTGTTTAGCTTGGAACATGACTTACACAACACTAACTACTATTTGTTGAATTTTTCATTAAGTCACACACACCCAAGTTTAAATCGCAATATTTCGTTTCTGTTTTGGCACAAAATAAGCCCTAAATTTATATATATATATTATGTATTGTGCCCATTGGAGGGGGAGACAAGTATTGCAAAATGGTAACTGCACAAAAAATGTTTTGTTTGTTGGGGGCCAACTTAAAGGACCTTCTTCTGACAGTATCTAATTATATATCATACCACAAATAGCAACTGAATTATTGATAACGTCTCTTTATAGTTAGACGCTGTTATCGTGGGATTTTTTACTCCAATGTTTTTATGTTGAACTTTACGTTTTCTGGAGTTGTGTAAAAAAGAAATTTCATGTAGAAAATTTCTGTTGATTCATTTTTTGATTATTAAAACTATATTTAAATGATCTTAATCAGTGAATCTTATACTTTCCTGTCAATGGCTAAACTCGGAAATTCTCGGCCGATCCCTGTATCCAACATCAAAGCACGAATATATTAACGTAGGCATCCATGTTGAACTACTTTCAACGTGCCTTTAATTAAGACCTACATCGAATTTAAGATTAATAGTCTTGTTGCTTTGGAGAATTTATACTCTTGTTGAAAACGTACTAAGAGACTAACTGAAACACCGTATTCTACCCTAATAAATCTGGAAACAGTAGAAGACCATATCGAGAAAACAGTAGAAAAGTTAGGTAATATTTTTAACAAGCTATAATAACTGTGGTAGTTTTGTGCAGCAACCTTTCATACTCAAAAACTAGTTTTTTTTCAATGGAGGGGGGGGGGGTAGTTCATGTCAACCGAATTATTAAGAAAGAATAACATATGTTAGGGGAGATTATAAGAACCTATAGATATCCACTTTTAAATAAAACTATTACATTTGAGCCTATAGATATCCACTTTTAAATAAAACTATTACATTGCTATTATATCTTAGCCTCTATACCTAAAATATAAATTTTTACAACAAAATTTATGCTTCCCCCCTAAAAAAACTGACAAATAATCAGCCTTTGATTTATACTGAACACAGTAAATAAATCACCAATATTACTACAAAACAACACATTGAAAAACACCCATAAAAAGTTTAACTTTTAATAATTTGAAATTCACTAAATATCACAAATTAACACAAGTTTTTGGACATGAGGGGTAGCTGCATAAAAACCAATCCCGTAAATATAATCTTAATAACCTAGTATCATTAACTTGGACTCGAAAAAACAAAAAAAAACTCGTTTTGGGTATGATGTGTTGACGCAAAAACTTGGTTTTCACAATACAAAACTACCTTGTAGCACAATACTCTTATATAGTGAAATACTGAATTTGACTTTGTTGAGGTGAAAGGGGGCAACTTAATGAACCTATCAACATATAAGTTTAATTAAGTATATACAGTACGACCATACTTACTTGCTGAACAGTGAAATACTGAATTTGACTTTGTTGAGGTGAAAGGGGGCAACTTAATGAACCTATCAACATATAAGTTTAATTAAGTATATACAGTACGACCATACTTACTTGCTGAACAGTGAAATCAGACACAGATCCCACGTAGAAACACAAACCGACAGGGAAAGAGAAAAGAAACATATTTTCAAATACAGGCCTTGTTTTTATATTGAACTATGTATTATACAAGACAATAAGTAAAGAAAAAATCATTCAGATGAAGAGATCTTTATTTAAAAAAGTAGTTTGGAAAATCATAGAATTTCAATAGTTTTATTCACTTCTCGTTGCTAGTAAACAAAATCTTGCATCTTGATAGTTATGGTGGATTTTTTTGCGCCGTCGTGGTTTACACTTAATTAAATTTGGTTAGCTACAGTTTCTTATCCCTAAATATGTCGATGTTATTCAGTAAGTTAAGTAGTTTGAAAGCTACTACACTGCCATGTCGTTGACTGTTTACTAAGATATGTGTCTTGTCGCTAATTGGTGAGACCTCCACGTAGAAAAGGTTTGGAAACGGTTAAATTATTACAATGTCAATATATTAAAGCGCTTTAATGGCCATGACCAATTTTGAGTCACAATTTAAATTGTATCCTGTACAGTCATTGCTATCGCGTCATAAACTTACAGGGTCGATCAGGTAACTGGAACCACACATATTTTTTTAGGCCCAAGAGATTATATATCTCAACAGTGAAACATAAAGTTGATTTACTTGGAGTATAATTCCGCCTATAAGAGGTGCGTATACGATGTGTGATCTCTGACAAATAATGTTTACTGTTTAAATACCGTTCATAAAAACCCGAACAGCCGGTTGGTCCAGGTCTGGTAGTTAGATCGCAGGACTCGCAGTCTACGGGTCACAGCGCCGAACATGCTCGCTCTTTCAGCCGTGGGGTGGTTATAATAGTGGACAATTCTACTGTTATTGGTTTAAAAATAACACCAAATGTAGCAGTGGGTGTTACCGGTCAGTTGCCTTCCCTTTGGTCGGAATCTCTAAAAGTAAAGTCGTTGACATATAGTCATTTTACACTAAAAAATAAACAAACTATTGGTCCTACAGACCTTGTTATTATATTGAACTATGTATTATACAAGACAATAAGTAAAGAAAAAAATCATTCAAATACAGGCCTTGTTATTATATTGAACTATGTATTATACAAGACAATAAGTAAAGAAAAAATCATTCAAATACAGGCCTTGTTATTATATTGAACTATGTATTATACAAGACAATAAGTAAAGAAAAAATCAAGTAGGGCTCCGGTATGATTACTGACCTTTGGTCTGGTACAGATTCATATCACTACATGTGTTAAATATTTTAAAGCTACTACTCTCTCATGTCGTTGACTTATGTCTTGGCGCTTCTTGTTCTTAATTATTGAGACCATAAACAGGACATACTTATACAAATTGCATGCATATTAAACAAATAACTATTTAAATATCTAATTTTGGCTTAAAATGTATATATCTAGATTTTGTTTTTTTATAATTGTTATATCGCGAAATTTCCAACATTTTGATGAATACATTGTTTCAAAAAAAAGAAAAAATTCTCATTAGAACTAAAATGTTTTTTTTATTGTTGACCAGACAGTTCCATTGTATAAATCCAGTGAATTTTTTACTTGATTGATGTTACTAAACAGTCTACTTTTTAAATTTTATATTAACGATTGCAGCATATTTAATATTTATTGGTGACCGACAACCAACCTATCAAAATGGCGCCACTTCATGTTAGGTAAAGGTATTTTTTCTAAATTATTCCTTCTCGAAATCAATCTGTATTTAATAAATATAGTTTATTTTCAATAACTAACAAGTTTTTTATTTACGTATGTTGTTTGAATACGATAAATTTAACCATAATATTCAAAAAATAAGGATTTCAGTTGCTAGACTATTTTGCCGTCGCCTATTGTACTCACTAAAACCCGATTAGGCTTACTTGATGTCTTTTTACAGAACGTACGTAACTTTCAAACAAATATAATCTAAGACGAAAAAATTCCAAGAACGAAACGACCATCTAAAGAAACTTGTAAAAATCTCAGATGTTTGTTTCAAATTCTTCAAAAATTCCTATTAAATTTCTATTCCACAAAAACACAATTTTATGCACTCTAAATTGACGTCAATAAATTGAATATGTTCTATCCAATGATATTTAAATTTTTCCTGTAGCTATTTTCAAAGCCGAGCTTCATTAGTAGTTGTTAAGATCGTAAGCGTGAGATCATAAAGGGTGTAAACAGGGACGTGTGGTAATAAAAGCAGAGAAAGGGAAGGAAACAAAACGTGTAATTCTCTTCTCAAATGAAAGATACTTTCTTAGCAAATATACATCTATGCTAATGGGCAAAAACAATAAATAAAAATATTTATGTGCCGAGCAGAAATGCAAGTTTGTACATGTGTTCATTTTTCTTTGCGAAATATATAAAATAAATGTTACAATATAACAAAATATCAATTTGAAAATATTTTTGAGTTAAAAATAGTAGAAACTAAATTATTATCTCTAATAATTAGATTATCCTTCTGACTGGTAAATTTTCTTCAAAGGCATAGATCTGTACCTTTATAAAAGTAGAAAAAACATATACGTTTCATGTAGAAAATTCTTTTAAAAAAATCCTGACTTACATACCCATGTGTTTTTCAAGGCGTAATTGGAACCACAGATTTTCTTAGGTCTTAAAGAAGTCAACAGTTAATATACTCTATGCATGATTAATTAAAATGATAATAAAAATTTAAACTATGACATACAATAAAATGTTCTTTCCTTAGCACTAATAAATGTAAAAAACATACTAGCACTCGTAAATTGAAACATGATAAAAAGCCGAACGTTGGGCTTTATCGCTCACGCCACTGAAGTCAAAAAAGAACTTGCTGAGTACAGAAAAATATTATGAAATTGAAAAAAAAACAAGCTCCCACCTGAAGAAAAAAGTAAAAAAAAACAAATCCAGGTAATATACTTAGCAATCACTGACAGGATGTTTCCCAGATTGTTATATTCTGCCGGTGCTATGCCATCAATATTCATAAACTGTATGCTAAGAAGCTAATGATCTTTGCTATATTACTGATGTACCAACAATCTGATATGACGTACACAGTCTCTACCATACGGTATTATTGCAACAACGAACTGAAACTTTCGAGACTTGTAAGCAATACTAATATTGCAACAATGAACTCAAACTTTCAAGATTTGTAAGCAATACTAATATTGCAACAATGAACTGAAACTTTCAAGATTTGTAAGCAATACTAATATTGAAATAATGAGTCTGAAACTTTCAAGATTTGTAAGCAATACTAATATTGAAATAATGAGTTGAAACTTTCAAGATTTGTAAGCAATACTAATATTGAAATAATGAGCTGAAACTTTCCAGATTTGTAAGCAATACTAATATTGAAATAATGAACTGAAACTTTCAAGATTTGTAAGCAATACTAATATTGAAATAATGAGTTGAAACTTAAGTTCTGCAAACTACAATAATATTACAAAAATGAAATGAAACTTTCAACACCTGCAAGTGACCCTAATATTGTAACACTAATCTCATACGTTTGTTTATTATGGCAGAAGTATTGTCAAGAATTATCAGTGTTTTATATGGAATTTTAGAACTAATTTGAAACATGTTTATTTATTTGTTAAAGTATTATTGTAACAGTGAACTACCACATTCAGTGGCTTTTCACTGTCTGGTTTCTCAAGCATTACCGTGGCAATAATCTGACACATCCAGCCAGTTCTCTAGTATTATTGTAACAGTGAACTTGTACATTCAATCGCTTTTCACTGGTTCACCATTACCATGGTAATAATCTGACATCTTCACATTCAGTTCTCTAGTATTATTAATAATATGGCAATACGTTAGAAAATTATTTTACAGATTGTTTTTTCCTCAATTATATGATGAAATTTGAAAAGCAAACTTAATCAAACTGAAATTAGTCGAGATAAAAGACATCAAAATTGAATGATACAATTAAACTTTCTTATGAAAGTATAATACATTTATATACGTATGACTAACACACGAATAACTTTAAGAATAATTAACGTACGAATAAATAACTTCGGCTTATTTTCATCTATTACATATTCTACGTTTCTTCATAGTTCTATATCGTTCAGGGTACTCGATTCTGTAACAGTGTTAGGAATAGTAACTTACAGTTCGAACATTGGCATCTACACGATGTGTTCCTGCCATCAATTTAACAACATCGGCATTCCCATGTTTAGCAGCCCAATGTAAAGCAGTCTGCAAAAAAAAATAAATTGTAATTTTGATGAAATGAGTAAAGATATACACCTAAAAAAATTAGTCATATCACAGGGTGGGTATAAACTAATGAAAAAACAAACAAACGAAAAACTAAAGGAAACACTACTGAAAATTAATTTTTGTTTTTATATTTTAACAACGGATACTTATAAAATATCAAGAATCATTCATAAATTTTCTAAGTTTAGCGCATCTGCCCCCATAAAAGAACAGGGCTTTGAAACTAGATAAGGAATTCCATAAGAAGGGCAAAGACCTGAGACAAAACTTTGGGTCTTCTGACAGGTCTAAGTGAAACGTGATTAAAAATCTTTAAGAGATTGAGGTCTTTAGAGGCAACAAAATTATTAATTTGGACGGAATTCCCTGAAAGACGTTTTAGGCCTAAACCTTTCGCGAGAAAGTTGTTGTTAATTAACACTAAGTAAATGGACAAATTACTGCAAAACTTTTTATTGCTTATTTCGTCAGTGTTTCAAATGTAGATCCTTCGTCAAGTAATGTTTATTTGATATTATAAAAACTACATGAATATCAAATTCTTTAAAAACTATTTTTACATTTCAAGCCTAAGCCTTTTATGAAATAGTAAATAACTGATGTCATAAGTTGACACCTTTAAAAGTTGCCCCAAAACTATTTGATTCTGACAAACTTTCAAGCTTATAGGCCATTTATCAGATAGTGCTGAATTGTCATTAATAAAAACAACACGGGTAAACAATTCATAAAAAAAAGTATTTTGAAGACGTTTCTTTGCATGGGGCGATACAGAGTCCACTGATTTTTTTGTCTGGGAGGGCACCCACTAGAATACACGTTAGTGACAGAAATAGTTTCTGAATGA